TGTATCGAGGGTGCACATCATTCGCAAAGTGGTGCGGTTATAATGACTTTAATACCACGGCTGTTGTCTACCAAATATCTCGCTTTGTCGAGAATGGCTGCGAAGATTGCCAGCCGACGGGTGGAAATACTGTTAACTACTAGCGCGGAGGATGTGAAGGATCAGTTGTCGAAGGATGATATCGTGAAGATCATGGACATATTGCAAATCACCAAATTGGCAAGAAAACACGGCGGCTTAGTCAGTTTATTGAACAAGCTGGCGGTACAATATTACGATCTGTCACCACTAGAACTTGATCAATGTAGACCGTTCAATCCGTCCACTGTGAAGAGCATTCAGTTGGATCGAAATTGGTTCTTGTCTCAAGTGAGATTACGTTGCTGCCACGCAAGCGCCAGTAACAATCCTATGGAATTAGCTCAATTATTGAAGGACTTGGACTTTGATGATTGTCTCAACATTCTTTCTTGTAAAGAATTCAATTTGAAAATCTTGAAACACTGTGTAATATTGGGAGCCCGCCTTACTGTCGAGAAGTGCCAAAAGTTGGAATTTGGAAAAGCACAGAGCGAAAAGGATTTTTATTTCGATGCTAGTCCTTTGTATGTTGCTGCCAAGCAGTGTTTGTTGGAGCATATTCATTATATTTGCGATCTCGTACCGAAACCCCATCAGATTTATAATCCGGAAGCGGACAACAGTAGTGGGAAGGAACTAAAGTATGCTATTAGATTCTCCGAGTTGCTAAGTGACGCTCTGTATTGGGAGATTCTCTTCACAATAATTCCAACTGTCAAGGTTTACATGAAGACATTACCGAAACTAGCTAAATACAATGTGGCAAAGATCGATATGAAATTTGAGGAGGATATCGCCAAATTTTCTATGCTATGCCTTGAACTGGCACATTGGATGATCTATTCGGATAGGAAAGATGTCCATAAATTGAGACCGCATGACATGGACCTCGCGCTAAGTTGCGCGGCCGAAATTCTGCGGCATGCCGCCCCAAATAAGATTTTTGGTGACAATGCGCGTTACACTTGGGTTTGTTCCGCGGCGATCTCTTTAACGAAAATCGTGGAAAGTATACTAACGACGGTGGATCCCTTGCCGACAATGGATTGCCAAGCGCTGGAGCCAGCTCTCCAGGATGAGAATACGAAAGATTACGCTCGGGCATGCATTCAAATGGCGTCGATAGTGGCCTGGCTCGAAAAGTGTCAGGCGGATGGCACTACGAGGAACATACCACCATATCTATTCAATATGATAAAGTCGCTGATCATCAGTATAAGTCGTCAGCCATTAGTAAACTCTTACATCTTAACGCCTCCATTAATGTGGAAACGCGGTTGTCACGTCATCGGCTCAGGTCCTACCAAATGCTACTTTCCGCTTATGTCATCAGAATCTAATCTTCTGCAGGAGGTGGATGTCCTGGAACAGTTTATCTATCGAGTAAACTTATTGGGTTGGACGTCCAGGTCACAATTCGAGGAGATTTGGATGGCGTTCTTGAGTGTTCTCAATTTCCTGCAAAATGAAAACACGCCCTTGGATGAAGTCGCGGCTTTGATACAAGCGAGCAGCCTGGCGATTCAGGCGATAACGAGATTATTGCTGCAAACATTGCTACTGCCATGTCCTGGCAATCCTGGTGCTAGCACTCTGATCCACCATCCGAGAGATCCCCAACTTTCCGTGTATAAAATCAGCTCTCAGAAACTATTTGCGATACAGGAACTGCTCCTGTGGAAGTACGAATACATGAACGATACGGAAAGCAAGAACGGTTTGAAATTGGATCATATATTTCAGCGAGGCAATGTGGAGAGAACTGCGGTTTCCGATAAATATATGTATAGCCAACTGTCGGTCTCGTACTTATGGTCGTTGTGCAATCTATACGAGGACAAGTTGAACGCTTCCGTTCTCGATTTGAAGAACAGGCGGAACGACGCGCTGATGTCCGCCTCCCTTGATCTAGATTCCTGCCTGCGCTTTCTGATAGAGCACTACACCATTTGGACGTCACCGCAGGCTAGCACGCCTGTACAATTGTTGACGGAGATCATAAAGTCTATTCTGGCGATCTCAGAACTCTTCCTCGAGAGATCTCAATATCAGTGGATGCTGGACGTGTGCCTGGAAGTCTCGAGAGTTCATCCAATGGAGAACGCGGTCTTGCATCAGTATCTGGCTGTCTCTGCATGTAAAGCCGCCGCCGTTCTAACGCCTTTGGTACGCGCTAGGAATTTCATACATATAATAAAGAAATAAAGATCCTTCTTTTTAACCAATATCACTTTATAGGATTTGGACACATTAGATAAAGTAAAGCGCATATTGGATGTTAATTTAAAGTCGGTATTCCTGGCTTCCAGAGTGTCCGCGCTTCATGGCTCTCTGTACTTGTTGCAAAGCGCGGTACTGGCTAAATGCGAAGAAACAATGAATATTATCCATCCTCTGGCTATTGAATATATACAGAAGCACATTGATTCGCAGGATTCAAATAGGTGATAATTCAAAATAATTTAATTTTATTTGATAAAGAAGTATTGAAGATATCTATTAATTTGTTAGATGCCGTTTTGTAACCATTGTCTAATTCGTTTTTGCTCTGATACAGTATTTTAAGCCAGAGTGAAGAGCATCAGGGAATAATGTGGGCTCTAGTGTTTTTCTTATTGGAACATGCCGAGGACACACCACCAGACACGGAAGCGCCGGCCGTGTTGAAATTAGTTCTTTCTCTAGTCACATCTCAAAATATCTCATACGGTTTACATCAAACTCTTTTGCAGGTATATCGATGTTTTTCATTTTTGATTGATACATAAGTAATACAAATACGCAAACTGCTCATTTATCTTGATAGGGTCTTGAGAGGCTTGTAGCGACAAAAAGCGTTATTGGCAAGGTCGCCGAGCAGATCGTTAAAGTCGCGATAGACCGGCTGAAGCAACCCAGTCCCTTGCTCGCATTACCAGCATTACAACTTCTGCTGACGTGCATGTATACGGAAGCAGCTGATCGACTGAATCAGCCTAATATCGAAGAACCGTTGCCAGATGTGGAGCCAGAGACGTTGGTTCGATCTATCGAACGCATTTCCGCGATATTCGACAAAATCCGCAAAGGACATTCCATGGAGGTGGAGGTGCTATGCACAGTTCTGTCGTACCTTCTCGGGGACTTCTTCCCACCTTCGGAGATCCTCACTAAAGTTATAGGAGAATTCTTGTCCCCGCAACAACCGCACCCGAGATTACTCTCTGCTGTTGTTTTTAAAGTTTGTAAATTAATCGAAGTTCTCGAATTATATCGCGACTAAAATGCGAGATAAAAAAATATGCAAATGTATAATTTGGTCTGATTTTACTCCAGGTCTGTGAGAAAGCGTGCACCTGCACGGAAATGGAACTCCTTCAAGACTGGGTGGTCTTCAGTTTACCGAATTTCATTCAAAGCTTGCCGATGGCAATGTCGACTTGGTGCTTGTCCTGTTTCTTCATAAGTGCGTCGACAAATCATTGGTTGAGAGCTTTGTATCCTTTTCTCACCGGCGTAACTTTGTAATTTTCTTTGGAGAAGTAATCTTTCCTTAGCTATAACATGGTAGATTTCCGTACATCCAGTCAAGAATAGGAAAATATGAATATGAAGACAAGAAAATATTGTGTATAGCTGCTTCGGATTTCTATCATAAAGTAGGTCAATGTTACTTAATTCTTAACTATTTTTAACATCTATTTTGATGGATGGTTTATTGATTTTAGCTATCTAAAGAATCTCAAAAGAAGGCATTTGTCGAAACTTTCGAAGCTGCTGCGAAAGAACCTGGAACTCCATTTAGCGATATTCTAGCCTCCTTTTAGATAATACTGCCCATAGTCGGAAGAATTCAAAAGAAAAACATCCTACGGAATATTAAACTCAGACTGTAAAAAACGATGTACAATCTCTGATGCGTTGACGCTACGTCACGCGTGTATATTTGTATGTATGATGATATTTATTTTACATTATGTCCCGTCAGAAGAGAGATACGCAAATTGTTTTGCAATAAATAGTATTTTTTAAATAAAAATGTGTGGCACAAATGTTCACATAAATATGACCCTTTCAATAATCATCCAGCGTCATTTTGTATTTTGACAAATTAGAAGTCTCTGAGTCTTTATCTTTGTCTATACATTAATTTCGTAAAATTATTGAAAGTAGAAATAACTCCCTTTAAATTCTAAAATTTTTTCAAATTATTCTTAAAATGCTTTTTCCTATAAGTAATACTAAATAATATTATTTTTTTCCTAAATTGCTGTTATTTTTCTAATTACTTGAAATTATCTCGAAATTATATAATTATCAACTCGTAATTGTATTGAGTTATTACGATTGTTATTCATTAGATAACAGAAATACACATATGTACACACACACACACACACACACACACACACACACACACACACACACACACACACACACACACACACACACACACACACATAATTTAAATATTTCTATGTTATATTTTTAAAGTCTGTGATATTTTTATCAGTGCAATAAATCGATTGTTTATATACAGTGAGAATTTAAAATTGATATGATATCCTAATGTTAATATTTCAGAGGTTACAAGGAATTTTAATTAATTCTAAGGATTTTACACGTGCTATAAATAATAACGTTTCACTTTTCCAAATAGATTTAATATGCAGCTCCAGTAAATGAATTTCCTCGGATTGCATCAAATTTTGCGACGAACTCGAATCGAAACACGTTCGCATCGAACTTGGACAAGCATGAGTCGCGTCAAAGTTCCTTGAGTTTCTTTTTTTCTATACGCAGTATGTATGGTATCAAATTTTTCATATTACCTATATACTTTTTTTATATTTCTTTGTGCTTACGATTTTAAACTCACGAAGATATTATTAATTGAACGAAATTGTATACTCTTTGAGAAATGGAAGTTATGTATTAGTAATATCATGAGTTCAGTTCGATCTTCTTGGTGGAATTTTACTATCATCAGATACAAGAATTCTTGTCTGAACTTTGATTACAACTACTGAATACGGTGCGGATAAATTGAAAAAGGATTAAGTTTCCGATAGCTTTTACACCCCGTCTTGGCTACGATTTAGGAAATTATGGAACTGTACAAGAGAATACCCGCGAACGCGTATAGAAACACCGGATTGTATCGTCACGGTGAGTTCTGCTCTAATTGTGGACAAAACGAATCCGAGGATTTGCCGCGCAATGTTGTGATGCATAAAAGGAGAACGAGAACCTATGAGAAGCATTGTCCTTCGTGTCACTGCCCGCCTGAGAGACGAAGGTTCTCTTCGCCTGGTAAACCAAGGTAAACAAAGACATTTCCAGCTAATTAAAGGCTCGAACACAACAAAAAGAATAAGGGATAGGAACTAAGGAATAAGGAATAAACACACAGGCAATAGATTTTAACCTATCAAAAATTGCTACATTGATACACAGTTTTCATTAAAATCTATTATTCCCTGTTCTCTTTTTATTCCTTTTATTCTATCTAAGATCTATATGCGGATGTATCCATCAAAAACTATTTTTTTCTTTTCTTATCTATGTATTTATAAATTTAATTCTTTATTTAGCTTTCTTAGTCTTGACAATTTAACATTAAAATATTGTTTATTTTTATTTTAATTCTTTACGTATAGGCTGAAAATTGTAAAACACTTACGATTTTTTCATATTTTACAAAAAGTTAAATATCTCAGACCAAAAGTTTCGAAACACCAATAGTGTTTGACATTATATGTATTAATTTGGTAAGTTAGATTAATTAGGTTTAATTATCAAAATCTTTATTCAGTTTAACAGATTCAAAATAATACAATATTAAACTGTGTTTTCAGTAGTAGTCTAGTATCATGCTTTCACATGATGCTTTCTCACATCAAAACAAAAGTTATCTTAAAAACTCAGACTTGGGTTATATTCATGATCGGACCTTATAGGACAATCTTAAAATGCGATCAATCTTCTGACCGACTATGAATATTGGCCATTGTCTAAAAAAAAAAAAGTTATTTACAAGTGAACAAATTATTTAATCAATAAGTTATTTGGGTCGTCGAGTGGCTTATCACGCGGTGCGATTGACTCACGATCTATAAATTCGATTCCACCTATACGTCAACATACGCGATTTTTCGCGTTTAAGGAATCGAAAATAAAATATATAATTATTAGAAAAAAATTGAAAATTACTTATTAAAATAACTAATAAATGATGTGCGTAGAAAAATTGATAGGTTTTCTTCGTCAAATATGTATATTATATAATGTACCTACAATATAATATAATATAATTATATTATATGTATAATATAATTGAGGGAATGGGCGGAATAAGGGCATAATTCTACTTGAATCCTTTTTCCAATTAGCTTTTTCATGTAATATTGATCGTAATAGAGAAGATTTATAACATGTAACTTCCTAATTATATAAATTTATTTAATATTGTATCAATTTATGTATAATAAAAAAATAGCAAGTTATTTTAATTTTATTAATATCAAGATTTTATAATTAGGCCTTTATTCCGCCCATTCCCTCAATTATGCATTATATACCTACTCTTGATGAAAATTTTTCTCATAATTTTTATACGAATTGAAAAATTTTTCAGAAATATTCAGAAATATTCGGAAAGTTTACATCTTCTCTCAGAAAGAGAGAGAGAGAGAGAGAGAGAGAGAGAGAGAGAGAGAGAGAGAAAGATTATTTATTAATAAAAATTGACTTGCAACAGTTGCAATTTGCAAGTCAGTTTATGTTTTTGTTAATGTTTCGAAACTTTTGGTCTGCAGAAAGTGATAAAGTAAATAAAATTTATTCTTTTTAATAAAAGTCGTATACAGTAAGAAAAAAAGTTTTAATAATTTTTTTTTAAATTTGTCTGAGTTCGGGACTTTATACCAAACATTTTTCTTCTTTCCTCTTTTTTTCCGTAAACTTTAGTTTTTAACTTAAAAAATATTTTATAAAAAATGAGTTTTTACATAAAAAATTCGATATCTTTGATAAAAATGATCGTATCAAATTTTTCCAAAACGAAGATCTATTTTGAAATACTTTTTTGAGATACTTTTGTATTAAATTATGTTTGATGATGTTTCATGAAACTGCAGTGGTTTAAAGTTAAGATAAAAATATCAATTTTTTTTAATTTCATGTAATGTAGGAACAAAATGTCGTAACGAAGATTTCAAACGCGGATTTAAAGCTCTATCTTTGTCTTTAAAAATGCATGGTCTCGTAGAGAAGTCTTCTTTTTTTCGCCGAGATATCTAATTTTTCATAAAATGTGAAATAATCGTAATTCTAAACTTTTGGTCGGGACTGTACATAGTAGATTTCTAATTCCTCGATATCGATTTCTTTATCAAGATCTTCATCCATTGGTGATCCTGAATGAAATTTTCTGAACACGAAAATACTCTTTTTCATATTAATCAAGAATTCTCACTCATTTTTTAATTGTAATCACCACGGTATTTTTATCTTTTTTTTTTATTTTCCATTGAAAGGTTGAAGGTACTCACAGATATAATTAAGCTTCATTAATAGTTAACAAAATAATATTTCTTTCTGATTATTAACTTTCAATGAAAAAATAAATAACTTCTCTAATCGAATCGGGATTACCTTCAAGGACTTTGGAAAACGTTGAAGCGATGATAGATCAATGTGAACATGTTTTCGCGGAACCGATTAGCTCGGCCATCAAGAAATCGCAGAGTAGTCCCTTGACGCAGAAACTATATTGGCACGATTATCAAACAGATGCTCATCCTCGTTGCACCAAAAGACCGTTGCAGACTCGTCGTCAGCGGAGATTCGAGCATGATAAATATTTGTTTAGAACGAAGGGAGACGCTGCGAACTCAGAACTGACCAACGAAGATATCGTGGCTTGCTGCAAGTATGCACGAGCGATACCCGTCAAGAGCTCACTAAAAAAACACCATCATTGCAAACAGCTTGAGGTATTAATACTCACTCTTCAATGAAAAATTGTCCGTACTCTACAATAAAAAGGGAAGCGGCGTAATTTGATAATACTTTTGGAGGCTTTTACTATTTTCTTCAAAGAAGCTACGCAGTTTGCGGGTTATCTCTGTAGCTTGATACATTGTTAAAATGATAGGGATGATAGAAGATCCCCTTTGATGATTTTTTTATATAATTACGCTTCTTCAAAGAAGCTACATGGTTTGCAGATTATCTCCGTATTTTGATACATTGTTAAATGCTAACGTTTCAAGAATATTGCAGCTCACTTCATTAGAGCGAGAAAAGCAATTTGATATTGATACTGGGTATCAGGTTGCTTCTCGTCCTGATGAACTGCAATATTCTAGAAAAGTTAGCATTTAAAGATTTATCAAAACATGGAGATGCAAAGCTACGCTTCTTTGAAGAATTAGCGTAATTTATTACATAAAAAATCGTCAAAGAGGATCTTCTATCATCCTGATTATTTTCGAATTTATCTGATATCTTCTAGAGATCGCCAGACGAGCGAGAATGTTCCGATGCTGAGAGTGAGGTGTCGATGAAATATATCCCACGTGCTGTTCAGTCGAGGAAGTCGCGCGTGCTGGATCCTGAACTGAGGCGTCGCTATGTTGGCATCGGTGACGGTGAATATGTCGCGGAAACGAGAAACGAAAGTGATGTCGAGTCTCAGGAGATGAGGAACCTCGTTTTGAATCTCGAAGACTTGGAAAAATTGAAGCGAGGAGACGGCGAGGCAACGATAAGTGAGGATGACAAGAGACTCGAGAGACGGAGACCTGAAAATGTCGCGAGAATGATGAAATCGAGAAAGACTGGAGATGCAACGAGCAAGTCATCCACCTTGATCGATCAGTCAATTAATAGACTCAGGGAACCCGAGCGTCTAGCAAAGCTGGATCTCCACGCTACTAAAACTCGCATTCTGGAATCGATTGACCGTATGCTTGGTACCAAGGATGACACAAAAGTACATAACGCATTATAATGCATTAAGATGCAAATTTATGCATCTTAATTTATTCGTTAATCTCATACATGCGCGTAAAATATGTATTTCTTTTTTTATATGTTTTAGAAACATATAAAAACATATAAAAAAAGAAATTTTCTTGGTTTCCCCTTGATTTTCTATGTCCCTTACTTCAAAAGTGATATAATTAAAAAAATGATTTTCGAATGATAATATTATGAATGAATATAATTATTAACTGAATATTATCCTATTAATGATTAAAAGTAAACTAACTCAATTTTATTTTTAAAAAATCGTCAAAATCGTTATAAAAGAATAATTTTTTAGAGTTGTGAAAGGAGAAAAACTATTTTTTAATTTAAAAAATTTTGATATTTCCCTTTCTCTCAAATGTCGATGAAAAATATATTAACATGATCAAATGACAAAAATGGCATTTGATCATGTTAAAAATATATTCTTTTTGCCGATATTATTTGATTAGTCAAGAATTTTCGGTAATCATTCGGATTAATGGACACCACTCCGATAATCTTGACCTTCATATATGTTGTCAAAGTCATGGCTTTGAGTGACCTTTAAAACATTTTAGATGAGGGTTATTGTTTGTTCAAAAGTTATTAACAAATATTAGGTGCGCAACTAAGTTCTCGCTGTTATTTTGATGCAATTTTTATCAAAATAACAGCGAGAACTTAGTTGCGCACCTAATATAATTATTAATAAATAAGAATTTTCTCTCAAGTTGAAATTGTTGAAAAATAGCTTTTTCCCTTTTTTGAGAAAATTAATTTTTTTTAGTTGTGTCACTTTTGAAGCAAGAAAGATATCTTTTTAATTTTATTAAATAATATCTTTTTTAATTTTACAAAAAGAGAATATTATTAGGTCGAATATTCCTGCATCGTTGCGATAAATGTTTTTTGTATTGTCAGAATGATGTGCCTGTGCAGCAGGAACAAACGGAACCAGAGAGCCTCGAGAAGATAACTCGAGAACTTCAGGAGAATGGTTGGCAGTTATTGTTCAACGGTCTAACGATCCATAGAGATTCCACTAGTAGACGGATCGTTCGTCTGGATTGTCTGAATCATATTCGCCAGCAACTTGACAAACTGTACGCTCTCGAATCGACTTTGGACAATTGTCCGCCTAAGCTGCAGTCTCTGTCGAGCTGCGATATGCCGCGCAATGAGGAACGTCAACAGTCGCAGCATCAATTGGAACAGAAAACTGCGGATTCTTAAATGTGCTGGAAGTTTGTACACATATTTTTTTAAATATATATTTAAGCACCATCATAAATTCTGAAGATCCATGATGCATTGATTGTGCAAACGATAAAATATGTAAAATCTGTATAGATTATATATATATATATATATATTTTTATACATCATGGATATGTACAGAGTGCTGGGAACTAATTGCGAACGCAAATATCATCGCGCGTTAAGAGCACAGACCGTAGAAATATATATTATTGAAATATCTATGTCTAATGTAACTTAATTTAAACATATGAAATTTTATAAACAAATATTAATTCGTAAAACCTCTAGTGTTATTACTTACTCATGATTTTCAAAATTAAAACCAAGACTAGTCGTTTCCTTCAGATCGAGATCAATTGGTAGCAATAGCTTTATTGTTGAAACTTTTTAAGTACATTAGAGTACATAACTAATCTACTTTTTTCCCGCTTTCAAGCTAAACAAGGTATGTGTAATATTAAATTGTTTCCACTCGGTACATAGCTCTCCTTGCGATGAAACGTGGCGCATAAATTTATTATTACTATATATATATAGATATATGTACGTTAGGCTCTTTCTAACTCTTTGTATTTACTACGCACGTATACTCTCAATATACATACATATATATATGTATATATATTTGCCAAATGTGTTATATGTATATATATAATATATATATATGCGACAGTGTTAGAACAATTATTTATTTACATAACGCTGTAATAAGCTATGACTAGATATATGTATATATATATTATATATATATTGACGCGTTAGGATATACTTCTGGAAATTTGAATAACGATGGAAAGAGACATAGGTTGGAGAGATCCCGGATTCGCATGCTTTTTTTGCACTTTGTACGACGAACGGCGCAAAAAAGGGAAAGGAATCATGGAACTTCGCTCAACGGCTGATTGCTGCGAAAGCGGTATGGACAAAATAGCGTGGCTATTACAGCGGCAGCCGATGTAATTGTATTCGTTGTATGTCTACTTTCTTTATGCTGTATACAGTTCTTTTATTTTTTTTTTAATATGTCTTACGTTATATAATAGTGTGTTTGTTATAATTATGATACTTTCGAAGCTGTCATCGACCGCGACTGCGTCTGCCATTACAAAGAAGAAAGCGGGATTAAAATGCGAAGCGAGACGTTGAGGAGATCCCGAAAAAGAGAAACTGATTACTTATCGTACAACAGAGGACGGGGAAGGGCTCTCTCCTTCACGATTTAACAGGTACGAACGTATTCAAACGTATATACGCGACGAAGACTGGGATAATACTGCAAGTAGAGGAGAGACGGCTGTATAAACTTAATTAATCAGGTAATATATATATATGTATATATACGGTAATATGTATATAACCTAAGTACATAATGTCGTGATATAAAATCTACGTATTATATTCCGGTAGATCAACAACACGATTACATCTGATCTCCGCTACGCCCGACGCCCTTCGGTTCTACCTTCATTATTTTGCGTTAACGTTAAACACTGCTTCACGTTCTCCTGCATTTTGTGCAAGCATTCTGCTGTATTTTGTACAAGTGTACTCGATGTAGGTGAGATAGATATATCGTCGTCGGCTTCCCCGAATGCGATCCTCTGGGAACCGCTGGAGGTGATGGGAACATCATAAAAGGACGGGCAATTCACGGAATTATAATATTTATAATTATAAGAGAGAACGTCTAAAAAGGTACATTATTGACTTCGATTACACTATTAAGGGCACCCTCGAATTGATCGACGTTCGGACAGCGTCCTGAGAAACGGGAGACGAGGGACGCGTGCATTTCCTATTCCCCCAATCCTCTAGATCACCCCGCGAACCCTCCTAATTACTGTTAATAATTGCCACAGGTGAATTGACTCTAAACGACACCGGTTCCCCGAGCGATCGTCGACGTTTCGGCCGACGGTTTCGGGCTGCACGGTAAAAAAAAAAATCGACGGAAATTAGACGAGTAGACCCTCTAATAAACTCTAATTGTAAGTCCTTAACGTTCCATTCGTTGATGCTCGAAGTGCGGACCCGTGGGGCCCTTGCGCGGCTTTCCTCGTCAGGGGCGGCTACGAGTCTTTGCTTCCTAAAGATTTTCCCAGAATGAATTAAACCTTCAACAGGATTGTCACAAACTCCTTATCCTAAAATAACTTCTCTGATTTCCAGACAAAATATTATGATTTTCTCTGATGCCTTCAATAATATTTTGAAATTTTTTTGTATTTTCATCCTGATTTGGAAATCGTCAAATATTTTGTTGCAATTTAGCATAGCAATGTAAATTACCATTAATGTTGCTGACACTGCTTGCATTTAATTGTTAAGTCAGTAGTAAAAATACAGTATACAGTTTTCCAAAATTGTATATGCATATTAAACTTTTTTACAAAAGTTTTAATTTTCCAGATTTTCCCTGATTTCCTTGATTGTTTTCAATTTCCTTGACATTTCTTTGATTTCCTTAATTTCCAATTTTGTGACAATCCCGTCCAATAAACGCGTTTCCACGAATCGTTGTAGCTAACCGCACGTAAAGCCTTCGACTTGCGGGCGCTCTCGAGGTGGAGGCCGAAGAAACCCCTAATGGTGCGTGCCCCTAACGATTCTCCCCTCGTTTCTTCGTACGCGCGAACGAAATCGTTCGCCAGGTTCGATGTATCCTCCTCGAATTATGCGGTCGACGCCGCGGTACAGAGCCCACGAAATCGACGGTGAGACTGGTCCGCTTTTAATGAAGATCTAAGGCGCCTTTTTACTCGGTCGGCGCGGCGCTTCCTAAATTCTGGAAGCCGTGCGTCGATGCGTCCGATGCTGAGGCACTCGTTTTCGGCTACACTTTCATCTTCGCCTTGATCGCAGAATATACTTAGAGTCTCGAGATACATTTCGGTCCCTTCGCCATCGGCATCAAACGCATCGCAACGCGAATATATATATATATAATAATAATAATAATAATATTCATATGCATAAATCGCTCTAACGCGCTAACAATAACGGACAAACGTAGTGAACAAACACGTTGAACGGTCAATAGTCATTACGCGATCTAAGCCTCTCTTCGCGTTATATTATATATATATATATATATTATACGTACGCTAAATTTATATAATCACACTAAAGCGTCTGCGCGATCCTTGTGTACTCGCGATCATCCGATTGAGGAAACAGCCGATTTATTAAAGATGCAGCCCAACGAGCTGTATCGACAGAATGCTCGCAGGATTCTTAAATATAATTCTAACAATTTATTGGATACATTCGTTAAATGTTGGGGATATATTGGACCAATTTTGGGCCAATAATTGTACTATATATAAAATAATTTTGTTTTTTAGGAACATTGACTATCCATTCGTATTAATCCAAGTTATTCGTTAAGTAATTTGAATACAATTTGAATACAATTCGAATATCTCTTGGGCAATATTTTTATCTTTAGTATCTTCACTGTACGCGCGCATAGGCAGTTCGATAATTCGATTCTGATTTTTTGAAAAGGAGACTATATTAAAAAAATAAGTCAAATTTTGATAAAAAAAAGTTAAAACGAAATCATTGATTTATCAAACTGCCTTCGTATATTTAATGTTGTTGAAATTTTAATTTATATTATTGTGATTTTTTTATTGCTTCCCGGCCAATCACAACGAATTTAGAATACAAGGAATGCGAAAGGAGTCAATTTTTTTCTTAATTTCGATATCCATCTCTTGCAATTCCTGCGGGAATTCCGTCATGCGATTCCGCAGCTCGTCATCGATATCGTCGATTCCAGCGCGCTCGAAAGATCAAAGGATCCCGGAAGCGGAGGTATGCTGATTACACTGTAGGTGGATGTTTCTCTTGTACCCGTCCACCCATTTACAAGTGACCCCTTCGCGAATCAGTCTCAAGGAACGCGCAGTATAATAGTGCTGGTTGTAGATACTTTCATCGGATAAGGCTGCGTTAATTATTGTCACTTTCAGCGCTCATTCGCCCTCATGGAGAACCAATTCTCTCGCACCCTCCCCCTTTCTTCCTCCGTCTCTTTTGGTCACGAATAAAATTTCGCTTGCTCCATCATTCTCGCGAAGTTTCCGCATATCGTCGATGTCAAAGAATTCGAATTAAGTCTCGGTCACTCGGGAATAATACGCTCGATTTATTCTTTGCGTTGCGCTTCAAAACATTATCTTTCTCTTTCTTTTTTGTTTGCTTCCCTTTTAGAAAAAAAGTGATTTTACGTTTACACTCGCGCTAACGCGGGATCTCCTTTGATCTCGCGAAGTCTCGTCTCTTCTAGTCATTTGAATGGCGGACAAAAGCACATTTCAATTAAACAAGAATTAAATCATAACTGACTTGTACAGCTAATATTACATTTGTTCCTTTTTTTTTGTCGTACGACTATTTCAAGCGTGTTAATTGGCTACAGGATAGAGAGAGATTCTCAGATCTCTCTATTCTATAGACAATCAAAATTTGAAACATGTGTCATATAACAAAATATAACATTAGCCTACAACCTGTATACATCGATATACAGATCGATACATCCCAATCTTTCGCATCTTGAAAAATGCGCGAAGATATTTTCTTTTATCTCATATTTTACGCAGTACGTCGCGCTCCGTGATAGAAAATATATTTTAAAAATATACGAGTAGGTGTTATATTCTGAAATCATGTCGGATAATAGGATAAGGATCGCGCTTAACGTTGCGACGACAGTTACAGAGAGAGTTCTCTCGCCCGCTTTTGTCGATTATTTCATGTTCGTAACAATTCCACAATGATATCGACTTTCGACAACTCGCACAGTACCGTTAACAGTCTTAACATTTAGCCGCAGATATGACGCTTCTAAGATCTATTCTAACAAGCCGTACTTCTACTGGATTCTTTTTACTCTAATGTTTAGGATATAAAACGATTAATTGTCAAGACGCATTTCCCTTCCATGGTACTCAGGCATTTGCGCGATATGGATGATATAAAACGTATCACATTTTCTTTTCTATATCAATTCGGACAAATCTCGCGCGACGTACAATGAGGTCTGTGGCTAAGAGTTAAGATTGGAGAAGTTTGGAACTTTGCGACGGTCGATTTAATGCCGATTTTCTGATTTTAGCAAACAACTGCCGATACTGTCAATACGTCATCTGATAATAATTACAACTTAACAGCCGTATTGCCTGTCCGAAAACTTAGTTGCTTGGAAAAATTCATGTTTCCCGTACTTTCAATTAATTGTAAGAAATCGAGACTCGTTAGTCGAACGGAAGCAAGCAAAATACTCTTTTTTTTTATCGCTTTCAATAGCACCAATGGAATACAATGCCTGTGTACTCACGCGCGAGCACATATTGTCTAGATTCTCTACAACAGCCTAAAAAGAAAAAAAGCTCAACGACATAAGCCGTTTGCTCTTATCTAAAAATCTCAAACGGTCGCTTCAACAATTTCGCAGCAAGCTAAAAATCGTGCTTCTTTTCGACATGCAGCTACCTTCTAAGCTCATCTGTCTCTCGCTGTCTTCGTTATTAAGTAGGAAGAAGGGGAAAGGGACATACGAATGAGGTCGCTGAGCATTTACGATGATCTACGACCGTGCGTGCGTCATCGTTCGTGGACCAATCGGCCGGAACGATTCTTGCTCCGGACGATCATTCCACGTTTGAGCAAAGCAAAGGTCGGAAACGAACGAGGCGTCTTTACATTAAAACATGCTAGGGCATACTGGCGGATTCATCTCGCCGAAGACGTTGAGCTCGTAGAGCGACGCGAACACGATAAATATTAAGTACCAGATCATTAAGACCACGCCGTATCGTCGGTCCAACTTCCAGCCATTAAAGTGTGTTGCCAGTACCAGGAATAATACCGTCGACAGTAGAGAAAGGGTCGAATATGTTAAACCTGATAAGAACGAGATATAAGCGATATAGAATACAAATATGTATGTTTTGCAGAGATAAAGAGATTAAAAAATATATAGATAAATCCGTGTACCTCTGCTGGTAACATTAACGTGTGAGCCGGGCTGTATCATAGCGGTCTGTATGAACCACGGAAGACCGAGGCATACCAAGATGTCGAAAACATTGCTACCTACGGCGTTACTGACCGCCATGTCACCAAGACCCTCTTTAATGACCGCCAATGAGGAAAGGGCGTCCGGCACACTCACACCAGCGGCAACGAAAGTCAATCCCATCACGGTGTCGGGAATGCCTAGAGTACTGCCTGCAAAATCAATCACTTTACTAAGAAGATTCTATTTGCTGAAAAATGATTCAATCGCGGATCAAATGATAGTGTTACCTATAATCGTGATCATCCACACCATTATGTAGCTATAGAAACTGATCCAGATCATCGATATACAAAACGTGAAAGGGTACCAGCTCCGCCACTTTTCTTGCCGGCAATCTGGCATTGTCGCCCGGCACATGAAGTGGATGGGGTACACGAGGCCCCAAGTGAACAAGGTCCATTTGCTACCATCCGTTGGCATCACAAGGGGCGATACTTCGTTAGGATTGGGCTCTTTTGCTTTGTAATACTCAGGCTGCCTCGGTGCCGGCGGCTGCTGTTGCTGTTGCTGCTGTTGTTGCTGCTGCTGTTGTTCAATCGTTTCTTGAATGCCATTTCCTGAAAGAGGATGAAAGATACATTCAGATCTTTAGAGAACGGAAGATATGAATAGGCAAGATTTTTATTCAATTACCTTCTTGATTCTTCATTTGCTCGGTGACCGGCGAGTTAGGACCAGTGTAGGATAATCGATCCTCCTGTAAGGATCTGTAGCTCACTAGAGCGCTTTCCTCAGCGGGTTCATCGTCTTTCGGCAGGAACGGAATATTGTACGATTTCGCCCAACGTTCCAATTTAACATTGAACGAGAGCGCCACGCAATAAACTGCGTACATGATTAACATGAAGAGGGATTCCATCCTGAAAGACATTTTTATTTCAACTATGAGATTTAACGTCGGACGTTTCGTAATCGGACATAATTGAATATATGGTGATGCTTACCAAGATATAGACTCGTTGTAAATCGTACCGAGCATCACGAGGATCGAAATAGCGTAGAAAAAACAGTCTCGACAGAGAGGCCACCAATTCAACTTTGCGGCCGTCGCGGAACATAGGCCGCAGATCGATATAACGAACATTATATTGAAGACAGCGCTGCCGATAACGCCGCTGACCTGAAACGGAAGCATTTAATTGACAAATTCTATATTGTTAACTAACGAGACGGGAATGTCCGGCTTACTGTTGAGTGTCAGCCAGATTCATGTGACGCGATAATGAAAATAGTTTCCCTTGTGATTAAAACAAATAATTTGTTCGCGTACTGGCTTGCGTAATGTTATTTATGTGGTTTATGTTTCATGATGTTTAATGAACGCGGCGAAGCGTGCAAGGCGCGATTAGACGACTGTAATACTTACTCCGATGTCGTCCGGTGGGGCGAAAGAAGCGCCGCCCGCCATAAAAGTGGCACCGGCGACATCGGGAGACAATCTCAGTTCTGATAAAGATAAAAGATATGAATTTATAATATTTATAAATAATATAAATATAAAAATAAATTATTTAAAATAAAATCGCAAGGATCGCACATCTTGAATTATTTCAAAATCGAAAACATATTCGGAAATCTAAAAGTAACTTCTATTTCCAACAAAAAAAAAACCGAGAATCGAGACACTCTTAATAACAAACCACGCGGTAGATCTCCGCAGTGAAATACAATCCTCTTGCAAAGTTACGCGTAACGCTGTAAGTTTGCAAGAGGATTGTATTTCGCTCAATGCGAGTTACGGAATTATTGATTTCAATGTGATCCCTGGGGGAAGTGAGGGGCGATTTTCACTCGCCTTACCTTCGCAGATCCTATCTAGACTCGAAACGAAGTAATCGTCGCAGACGATTGCGAGACCTAGGAACGTGTAGATAGCAGCCAGAATGTGTATTATAAGCCCGCCGTGTTTTCTGGCTTCGGGGCCCATCAACGGTCGTGGAAACTGCTCTATGGCGGGTGCCGAACAATTGGTTCTTCGCGGTCTCACCGTGGGATACGGATATCTCGTAGTCATTTGAGTGGTTGGAGCAACCTGCTCCATTTAAAACGACATCAAAACGAAAGAAGATAAAACAAATTAATTCTCCGAAACTAACTAAGTGAGCCTATTGAATCCACTCAATTATATTCTTTCGAAGCTAACAATGAGTCTATTGAATTTACTCAATTATATTTTTTTATATTAAATGCATTCGTAAAAAAATTGAATTATTGTTATTAAAGTAAACTTAGTAATTATGTCATTTTGATTATTTAAAATGTCTTTTAGTTAACATAAATTAAATGGCTCTCACAGACCCATCATCAGTAACTATATCAGATTTTGACGTTAGCTTCGGAGGATTAAAGTCTTTCAGCATTCAAGTCATTATTATCGTTCATTATTAACCTTACAGTACCATACCGGAATAAAAATGAACCCCAAAGAAATTTCAAACACTGCTGAGATGGCAGACGACATTTTTGGTTCGAGACTCAATCATGATGAAAAGATAACATAGTGTGTGCAGTTGGATAGCGTCTCTTTCTAAATCTCATAGTCCATTCTTATTTTAAAATCGTCTTAAATAATCTTAAGATATTAATACAGTCTTCGGATTGACTTACGACATCTTAAGATTGTATTTAAGACAGTCTTAAATGTAAGACTCAACTATGAAGTTCGTACAGAATCTTTCTTTGCACAACCAATTTTCGGAACCAATTTTCAACTTTGATAAGGAAAAGAATGGCGTTAAGCAAATTGAATTTAATTAACGTCATTCTCTTCCTTATCAAAAAACGTATTGATTGAGCTATCACTGAATCCTTCTACACGTATACAAAGCATTCTATGCTATGCTAAAGAATTTATTTTTGTACCCCAGTGTGATTTTAGAAGGCAAAAAAAATCATAGTAGTACTCCAGGGTTAATGTAACTTAGGTCATAATTTAATGTCGCTTAATCATGCGTTTATAATTCGAGCTGTATCTTCGAAGAAAATTATAAAACCTTGTAAAAATATAAAACCCTCGTAATGCATGTTAATCCACAATAGTATACGATGCATAACGCTTGACAGTGTTACGCAACTACACATTGTGTATTGCATATCTCAATTCTGATCTATGCGACAATCTCTAATCTTGTTTCCTCGAAATCCATCCATCTGCGCCGCGAGACAAGGATATCTATGGTGTATGCAAACCACCAACAAGCGAATTGTCGCGTCGTCGGCAGAATCGAGTAGAGATCACGATAGATAGCTGTCGATTAGCATTGATTGCGATATGTTAAGCTCATGTTCCTCTCATAGAGCATGAGAGCGTAATACGTTATGTCAACGGCAAGAGTCAAATAGAATTTGTCAAAATTATATCTCGCAGATTTTTATTTTATTTTATTGTATTTCTGTCAATAAAGTACTGATAGAAATACAATAAAGTTTATTGTGCATCACAAGTTCTACATTAAATTTTATAAGACTTTCTGCAAACAAAAACTGTAATCAATAATAAGTAAAAATTAAATAAGAATAAATCAAATAAGAGAAAGAATTCTATTTTCGAAGCAGATCTTGATGCTTAATAATATTCATATGTAAGTATATTTACAATACATTTTTCAGTCCTATAAAGAAAAAGTGATATTTTTCGCAATAAATTATTTACAGTATTTTAAAGTGCTTATTCTAACATTAAATTGATCAATGCAATTTGTGATGTTATTTCCAAGTTCCTTTTATATAATTACGTTTCGACAAATCCGACAAACCAATTTGGAGCGCATGTAGAAAATGTATTTGTAAATTTATATATAAATATTATATTATTATTATGTAAACATCAAGATCCGCATCAACCGAAAATAGGATCCTTCCTTTCTCTTATTTGAAAAACTGTCACGTGTTTCGTGAAATTTACCATTTTTCCATTTAGCCGTTTGGCTAACCGAGTGTGTTTTGTACACTCATGCCTTGACTTCGCATTTTTGCTTCTTTGTAATTATCTGTTGAAGGTATATTTTATCTACTATCCGTTTCGTCCTCGTGTGGTCGGTCAGTTGTTAATCAAAAGAAGAAGAAAAAGAAAACTGTTCGTATTTCACGACAGAAACTTAAATTGTGGCACTCACCGTGGTGATGTTGTTTTGATCATGTTTCGGCGGTAGTGTCTCGGTTTCCTTTTCCTTGATCTTGGTTTCCTTAGACAGATCTCTCACGCCCGTCTCGGTTTTCGCGCGCCCAAGACCCTTTGACGTTTCGGTTTTAGATCTTTCCGTATGGCCTGTCTTCCTCGATTCTTCCTCGGTGACCGTCGAGTCTTCTTCTATCGGTTCTTCCTCCTCGGTGGAGATGATCGGAGATACCGGTGGCTCCGATGTCCATTTCGCAGAACTCGATGACGGCATTACTGTCGTCTCGGTCGAAGAAGGAACTTTCGTGGAGGAAACATACTGTATGAGGACGTAAATCAGGAAAAGGCCCAATCGTAAAGGCCACCTCCTGCGACGCGCCTGCAGATTACGCGATCTGCATCTCATTGTCTGCAACTGGAACGAATTAACGTTCAGTAATTGTAGATTAGCATTTCTCTCTCTCTAGCTTTATTCCTCCCCCCCCCCCTCTCGCTTTATGTTATTAAATTTTCGACTTTTATAAAATATATACTTTTCGTTTAGATTCGTCTGCTTACACAGACTACATATACACACTGCCCTGTCACACCTATATGTACTCTGTTATTTTTGTTTTATTTTATTTTTCAATATAGATATGACGAAACAAAGGAGAATTCGATTATTATACAACTTAATTTTGCAACACTATGAACTGCTATCATCATATTCAATTATACTGAAAAGAATCCAGGGACGTTCGTCTGTATTTAATTAAATTATAATATATATTATGTGTAGTAAAAATAATGGATTTCTTTTTACTACACCTAATATTTACATCGAATAACTTGTGTCGGCTCAAATCGGTTTTTCTCTTGTTTCATCATATTTATATTGTTTATCTGAGAAGCCTCTATTTATTTAAATTTTATATTGTTATTTTATTTTTATTTGAAATTGTTTTAAATTTATTTCTTTATTACTGTAAGGCTTTTAGATCGTGCATTTCTGTGTCTAATAGTATAACTATACAATAATGTGTCTCGCTCTTGAAGGGACTAATGCCCGTGTTCATAGTCAGGCCCATATTTAAAGCTTCCTTAAATTTATCTTCAGATACTTTATTTCATTGGTTACTGAGTATCTCAAAATAAATTTAAGGAAGCCTTAAGTATAAGATCTGACAATTCATACTATAGACTGTTATGAATTCGGGCATAAATTCCAGGACGCAAAATAAACAGCGATTCTCTCTTTTTCTCTCTCTTTCTCTTTCTCTTTCCTAAAAATAAGCAACTTCAATCGGGATAATTCGAGTACGTCTCTTCGATATCGAGAAGATTCTACTTTTTAATTTTTTTTTTCTTATACAGTTCGAAGAGCTGAGATCCTCGAACTAATTATAGGGGAAAAGTGAGCTCTATACACAAACGCGGAAATGGAAGCAATTTCGTATCGGTCGTAAGTTTTATATCAAGTCACATCGAGTTAGCTCGCACCCGTTACGAGGACACGAACGACCTTCGGTGACGCGATATCCCGTCGTCTTTGAAACGGCTAGACAGCAACCCTCCCACGAAAGCGCCCGTCTTTAAGACCGACTTTATCCCGGCGTTTCATATCTCGACCATAAGTCTTTACATCCTCCCAGCCCGCTTTATTGACGTTTTTCTTAAGTGGCATGTTTGCTAGCTCCAATCTGGCTGTGTTTAGAAACAGTTCCACCTGTGCCACATTCGTTATGATTATCGATGTTGCGTGTCTCAGCTCAGGGAAATCATGGACGTCATATGACACGGCACCCACGTACTATTCAGACATATATATGCCGTGTGTAGATGTACACATATGGCCTCTAAGTAACAAAACTATCGTCCGTATGTATTGTCATTAAATACAACGCGACTGGGTAAATCGATGATACTTGTCTCTCTCGCATGCATAAACTATGTTCCTCTAAGAAAAGTAAACCTGTCAAACAGAGCGTTCGTTTTGATCGCGCTTAAGCGAATTCCCAATAACGCCATACAATCTCCAATCTCTCTAATCTTTCGAATGGTCGCCGGCATTTTTACTGAAATAAAAATATGACCTTTCAAATGCGAAATTGCTCGTATGGATATCGGAAATTTTATGCCGATATGTGATTTTACGATAATTTTTGTCAATCTGTTTTTCAATTTTTATAATCAAACTTAAATATATTATGTACGCGTATATTAAGAATGTATCAGGTGTATAGTCTCTGCAAAAAAATTACTAGAATTAGAAATTTATAAAATATAATATATATATATATATAAATGATTATTTATTATATTATACAAATATAGAATTTTATATCTGTATAAAAATTAATGTTTTATACATATGAAACAATTCAATAACGTCATTTAAACTATAAAATTGTATTAAATACTGTCAAATATTTATACACGACAATGTTTATATTTAACAACATAATTTTATAGTTTAAATAAAAATCTCATTCTATTTTAATTATTTTTTTTTTAAACATGTCTACTTTTTATTGAAATAATTTATAGCTCGAATTCAAAATTATTGCGAAACTTTTTGTATTATTTTCAAATATAATATAGGAAAAAATCATAAAATTAATAAAAATATGAATCAATGTAAATCGACACAAGATAATAATGTTATAATTGTATAGTATATGTTATAATTACACATTATGTGTTATAATTACATATAATGATAATAATGAATAATAATGTTTTATTAAAAAGATTTACAGATAATTATTCAACATACAACATATTTCCGCACTCCGATTATATTTATTGCGTCATAATGCTCAATAATTATTTGTAAATCTTTTTGCTTTACACTAAAGAGAGCCCAAATTGGGATGGAAATATTGTTATTCATTATTGTCATTAATATATATAATTTCACATACTATGATTTTATGTCAGCTCACATTTTTATTAATTTTATGATTTATTTCTTTGAAGCCTTATTATCTTATATATTGTGTTTAAATATAAAAAAATCTGTAATCTTTCCATAATTTTTTTATTTTTTATTTTTTTTAAATACTACATTCTTAAATAGGTAGATCTCTATTTGTAAAGATTTTTTATTTGAACAATACAACAAAATTACTCAATGTAAATATGTGGTCGGAAACTTTCAGTAGCCACACAAAAAAAAATAATTGGTTGAATTAATTGTGATGGAAAATGAACGATCCAGAATTGTAATTAAGTTTACTAGATTTCTGATTATTTCAAACAGAATTCTGGTAGATTTGGAATTAATTATTTCAACCAGAATTTTGGTAGATTTAACCAGAAATCTAGTAGACTTAACCAGAATTCTGGATCGTTCATCTTCCACTAGAATTCCAGTTAATTCAACCAAATATTTTTTTCCGTACACAGTATATCCTCCATTTGTCGTAATTTTATCGCGAATTTGAAATTTTCGATATTCGCGATATAATGGATACATATGCTATGCAATAAATTATGCGAGATATGTAAGTAAATGAGAAATATTCGCGGAAAAATCATTACATTAACGTTTTCCGTGGGTATAATTAAAACCGCCCTGGAGTCCCATGGTTATAAGAGCCCTCGAGAGGATTTCCATTGGCGTGCCGCGCACGGAGATAATTCGCCGCATTACGTAATCGCTACGAGCATGATTCATTAGTGATCAAAGACACATATACACGGACATCCGGTATAGATGCGAATCGGGATGAAAGTCAGACGCGATAGTGGGACACGTGTAATCCTACAAATGCGTACATGCAATAATATTCATACAATGTAAAAGTGACAAGCGTATTCGAGAGTCGTTACGGTATATATCGGATTGTCTAATTGCCGTCGGCAAAATTAATTTACACCCACATATACGAGGTGTCCTACTCGTGCTTGTGAAAGGGCAAACTCTCTCCATGGAAGAGGTCAGAGAGTGAGGGTGGTTCGCTATTGGCTTCGTGATTTTCAACATGATTTTTATTTTCTTACGAGCTTCTCGTAAATAAAATTCTGTCACAATAAAACTTGTTAACGGGCTTTCCGAGTCAGCTTATTCGCCGTTTTAAAATCTCGTCGCTGGAAAGTCTTCAATCTTCCGCGCTCGGCTTTTCGATACACCCTGTATATATAGGGTGATGGAATAACAAACAATTTTCGCAATGCGACTCGCACACTCGACGCGCTCTCTATGTAAATATCACTTTCAGATTAATCTGGAAAGTGGCGTTATATCAGCTTTTCTCTTCAATGTGAAAGAATAAGCTGTTAAATTAATCCCTTTTCCCCGACGCTGGTTACGCGATTAACATTTGCGTCGATTATCAATTTCATGAAATTTATGTCGACGCTAAAATTATTACACCGCACTCCGTAAATAATCGTAACCACAATAAAGTGTGTCTCGTATTTCGACGATTCTGTCAATAACATTACATGTCAATAGAAAATGCGCGTCAATAGAAAATCTGACAAAGTGGATACTACTATACACTATTGATATTAATTATAAGACAGACAGGTATTCAATTCTAACAGTACATTCAATTCTTCAAGTGATTCTTTTATATAAGAGTAAATTCCAATAAAAAATTGTAATAAAAAAAATTGCGTTGAGATAAAAATGTCGTACGACAATTAATATATTTTAATGAAATGTAGTAACTCCCACGCAGAGAAATATATAAAAATTCAATAATTCCCCTGTACCTCTCTCTTTCTCTTTTTGCTATAAAAATCTCTCTTTTATACGTATATAAATCTCTCTTTTATATATAAAAATATCTGATCGAGATGAAAGAGTGCGATGCTACCTATATCGCAATAAAGACCGCACGTGTATGATTTGTGGAATCGATATACTTATCGAGATTCAAGAACGAAAATGCGTTAATTAATGACATATTCACGTATCCTTTTACAAATTGGACGCAATATATACAGGGAGTCGATTATTTATCTCTTCAAAGTAGGAGATTACAAAAGAACGAATTTACTAAAATATTTACAATTGTATTGATCAAATGAATTTTGCTCACTTTTGTAATTTTTTTTCATTTCGTTTTCAGAGCTGCGTTCAAAAACACTATTCGAATACTACTCGAATACCTTTGAATTTCATTTTATTCTTGTTTTATTTATGCATTCGAAATGAAAAACAAGAATAAAATGATACTCAAAGGTATATGAGCAGTGTTTTCGAACGCACCCCACGGGATCGATTATGTTCGAATGAGATAAAAATAACAAAAGAGCAAATTCACTAGAAGTTGGCTAATGAAATTATAAATATTCTAGTGAATTTGTTCATTTTTGTAGGTTTTTAATCTCATTTCAAGATATACAATCGACTCTTTGAAATTGCGTATTATAGAATACGTATTATAGAATTATTCGGAATGGATTTCCGATCAGAATTATTCAATTATTTCCTAAATTTTTATTACGTATTTTTAGGGAAAACAGAATAATTCCGATCAATTCTGACTTATTCCATAAATATCCTGATCGAGGAATACGATGTTGGTCAAATACCGGAAGTCCTCGCTTTGCGGCCGCTTTTTCGCACAGAAGTTGCGTTATCAATCTTTACTAGATATTTGTACACTCTATTTGCGTGAAGTTTGCACGCTATACAGTCATTAAATTCAACTTACGGAAATTTTCATGATTGTCAAATAGCAATATGAGCTCATCTCAATATGAGAAACTCTTTTATTGTAACACGAGGTTGCCCTTTCATTTTTTTTGTATGTTAAAAAAAATATTATTGAATCAGCGATTTCTCAGAATCTTTTTCATAAATTTTACTCGAAGAATCGCTATAATCAAAATTTTCCTTCTGTTTTATAAGCGAATCAAAATATAATTCATTTCATAAAACATTTCATTATAGTCTTACTATTCGCGCGAGTTTAATATTATTGTTAAAAAATTGCTAATACAATTCTCTAGTTTATGAAAAAAATCAAGATTATTTATACATCATCCGTTCTGTTTTGCATTTTACATCAAACAACTTAAGAGAAAATCCACAAGGAATAGACCTGTTCGACCCAGTTACATTTCTCACCTTCTTCTTTCTTTAATCCATTTGCAATATAAATATTTACAAGTACTTGCGCCTGCAAAATGCAACCGCCCCGTTTTAGACGCGGAAAGTGTGAGAGGAGGATCGCGAAATCGAGCGAATCTAAGAGCAATATTCATAAGTCATACTTCTTATTGAAGAAACTTAAGACAAATTAAGTAAAAGAGACTATATTCGCTCAAAGCAGTACTTGATATTTTAATGAATGTTACAATTTCCAGCTCAAACAGGAGAAACTCTCGTAGGAAAAACTGTCGTTTACGCGTATACGCGCCGAAAATCGTCGTTCGCCAAGAAACCGAGAGTACGTTCCGCGCGTTTTCGATCTTTCCGGAGCAATCTGTCCTTCCTCGGTACATCGATGAGACGAGGGGGGCAGGGGGGGGTCAGGCGATAGGCTATCACTTGCTCCGATAATGGAACCGATAACGAACTGGTGACTCGATTTTCCGACAGGAAGGATTCCGCACTTGGTGTTATCCGGCTTACCCCTTTATCGCCGTGCATCGTCGCCGTCTGCTGTTATGTATCACGAGTACCGTACTCCAGCCGGAAGACCCGAGGGTGTACCGCCGGATATAGGTAGCGCGGCACTGATATTAAAACTAGGGTAGCGACGATGCGTTCGCTGCCGCCGTGAGCTCCCTTATCACTTCGTCACGTAATTCGTATCCCACGGAAAGAGGAGGCGAAGATAGAGGAAGAAGATGAGCGGGCGAGGGTGGACCCGCGAGACTCGTCCGAAGTCCTCCTTATTTGAGGGAGTCTCTTGTCCGCCACGCTGCCCACGATCGCGCTCGAATTATCGATTCGAACGTGAAAACCCGCCCGCCGGCGCCGTCTTCGGTTTTCGTCGTCGTCGTCGTCGTCGTCGTCGTCGTCGTCGTCGTCGTCGTCGTCGTCACCACAGCGATGTTCCGTCGATCCCTCGTGTCCGCATACGATCGCGCGTGTCCCACCGGGATCAACCGGGCATCCCGGTGCCGCGCACACGTATTTACGCCCCGCGGCTGCGACTCGGCCGTCCCCCTCACTGTCGCCGTCGCGACCTGGCCTCGCCGTCTCGGCGCACGGCCATCGTGCGTGTGTGTATCACCTACGTATCTCTCTCCCTCTCGCTTCTCTCGCTTGCTTCCGCTCCCTCTCCCTCACATGCACCGAGCTCGCTCTCTCCTCCTCCCTGTTCTTCCTACTTTGCACCCCCTCCTCGTTCCTTTAACGCGAACAACACATCGTGGCGCCGCATCCTCGCCCTTGCCCTCGCCCTTCCTCCTGCCCCGCAACCCTTTTGTCCCTTTACTGTATTAGCGCTTGCCCGGGATGGCTGCTCACCATCGCGCGATTAAATGTCACCATTGATCCCATTGTCTTTTATTGATATTTTTCAGGCACATCAATTAGTGACCGCGTACAGCTCAATCGTTATTACAATCTTGAATGAATTTTACTAATTAATTTAATTTAATATTCAAATTGCTCATTCATATTGAGATGATATCATAACATTGTTTGAGAGCGATTCGTTGGCGCTTGGAAGAAGATTCGGGAAATCGCGCCCCCGATTTTGATCCGCACCTACGCGCACACTTTCGTTCCCTCTTCGTACATCCCGATAATGTATCGTCGACGGTGACGTCGGACGCTTGCGCGTGATACGTCACTGGTTCATCCCTCCGCACTCTCCTGATCGTTCATTGCACTTGCTCACTTGGGAGAGGAAGTGGGGGAGCAGAGATGGAATCGATGCTATTTTTTAGATATCTATAGAATAAAAAAATTGCTATAATTTCGATGTACTAAATTTTCCTCGTAATTAATAAACGAATTAAACGCACTAGTACATAATATAGTTATACACTAATTTAATTTGTAAAAGTAAAATGCAAATATTTCGAATTGTAAAATAGATTTTATTTAATAATATAATAAAATATATTGAGGATTTCATGATTTAATCCATTCTTATATTTATATTAAATGCACATTTTTATATCAATTTGTGTACGATGGCTTTAATATGTACTAGTGCGGCTCAATCGAATTCGCTATTAGATTGATACATATTTGATATTTTGGCATTCTTCAACGATTATCATCGGAAAGAAAAGACAGCGATTGCATGTTTTTATTTTCATTATTAAATTATGTGATTCACACTTTTGAATTTTGAATTAATATCAATAATTTATAATCTGTGACCGAGGACGTTCGTTGCCCTCGAGATTGCAAAGTCGTTCAACCTCTTCGTGGAAGAGCCGCGGCTAAAATTATCAGGGATGACGATATAGCTCGGTATTATTGAACCATAGACTATATCCGGTCTAGCATTGGTGCCAAATATAGCGAGATATCCGACATTGCGACTTGCGATATATATGTTGCTTGTTGGAGCTTCGATTAACTCGACAAAGAAATATTTTGAGTAAAACTCGCTTCGCGTGGCGAATTGTCAAAACGATTTTATGTAAAATTTGATCAGATTTTCACGATTTGGATAATTTTATCCTGTCGATATTCCAATATTTATATTTAATTATTAAAGCTATGAAATTCATGGTAGGATCCATGTAAGATACATAAATATATTTTAAAATTATCAAAATAACTTTTTGTGTAAAATCTGATGAAATTTTCACGATTTAAATCATTTTTACTTTATCCTATCAACTTCATTAATGTCTATATATATATTTAATTATAGAGTGAGGGATAAAATCCATAATAGGATTCGTGCAGAATATACAAATATATCTTAATTTCTTACAGGTAAAGGACAAATTTTATCCATAATTTTTTTTATGAATAAGAAACATATAATTAGCTTGTTACATGGGGTTCTGATGAAACTTTACGGAATAACCACCACTGTTGGGATCCTTCTCCAATTCAAAGTTATTCGTAGAAAGGCCGAAAGGTTTTAAGACCATGTTTCCTAGATCTTTCAGTTTACCCAACATTTCTGCTTTCAGTTTCTCGTTTCTTTCGTTAATTAATGGAGGTAACCTCTGAAAAAAACAAGAAATTGTAATATTAATAAATTATAATATAAAAATATAATTTTGCTTTTTAAATGTATTCTTAACTTTTAGATTTTGGCGCACAATTCTAATATTCACAAGTAATCCACTATATTTACCATTGAACTTGCTATTTTTAAAATTTAAGTAAAAATTTAAGTAAAAATTGAACTTCAGAGAAAAGAAATTTACTTATCTAATTTTTTAAGAGATAAAGAAATAAAATTAATTTATTGCAAAATAAAGACAAATTAAATAAAAAATTGTTATATGTATTATATATAAAATACACAGTTACTCTTTTTTTGTAATTATCACTTAAATATATTAATCAAAACTCTAAACACGTTTTCTTAAAAAATTGATCTTTATTATAAGCCACGTTATAGAAAAAAATTCATACTTTGAATAAATAATAATTATATATTACCCTGACAGCATGATTAGCTTCTGTGTGATTAGAATCAAATGTTAATATTTTCTTGTAGTCTTCTAACGCTTCATCCAATTTTTCTGTCTCTTCATACAATTGTGCTCTTCTTATATATGCCTTTACATAACTTGAATTTAATTCAATGGCTTTAGTACAATCAGATATCGCCGAATCCTTCTCTGTCTGAAAACAATTACTTCTTAATAAGAGCTACAACACACAGTATTAATCAATGAATGCATCTTTGACAATCACCTGACATTTTGCTTTTGCTGCTGCTCTATTTGCATACAATATAGATCTTTCTTTGCTATATGCTAAAGGACAAGTTTGCAATCCTTGTGTGTATTGCGATATCGCCTGTACATATTCACCATTTTTGAAAAGCTCGTTGCCTGCCTGTTTTAGAGTCTCTGCTTCACTTTTCAATGCCTGCAAAAGTAGATGAATTGCATACATAGAAAATAGGACTACGACTCTTTCCAGAAACACAGATGTAATACAATGAATCACATTATATGCACTTGTCAATATTAATCCTACAACAGCATACTTATTTTCAGCATCTTAGAGTAACACACATGAATCAAGTAAAAATTGAGCTTTTGTCAGATCTGATTTTGAAGCTTTTAAAGTGCTCGAAAAATTCTGTAAAAATTCAAACATGTTTCTTAAGGTCTCCATTACATTATTCTGTTATGTAAACATTGAAAAAAAGTTTGAAAAAGTTATAAATATCACGCAAGTATATGAAAAATAAAAACTGTTTGAAGTGGCATGAATACAAATACCCATGTATGCCATTGAAAAGTTAAACAAAGATGGGTTAAACAAAGATGCTTTCCATTTAATGACACAAATCGACATACAAATATCTATCTTTGTTATTCATTAGAATGCCAAGATGAAAGAATATTCGTGTCGACTTGTGTTACTAAATGAAAAGTATTTGATGAAGATGATCACTGTATTACACTGTCTCTTGTTAAAAAGTAAAGGAGGATTGCAAGAGAGATGTCTTTAAAAATATCATAGACATACTTCTTGCTCACTTTCTGTAAGTAACAGATCTCTATCCTTAAGGAGTTCCTCGTTTACATCCTCTTCTATATTTTGTGCATTATCATTACTATCCTCATTGCATTCCTTATCTACGACGTCCCATGGATCGCCTTTCGCTCGCGCGTTCGCATCGGAAGAATCGTCTACTCGGATGCAGGAACTTTCTAGATCTCTGGTGAGTTCTTCTATGACCTCTTCGTTGGACTGTAACCTCTGCGATTTGTCGTCCGAACTCGCCATCGTTTGGTGTCCACCGTTAAATGAAGTGAATTTTACAGAAATGAGAATAAATATATCAATGCGTGTAGGATATCAATGAATATACACGCAAATCAGTTGTGCGACGAAAATAACCTGAAATTGGTCTTTGAATAAAAAAGAAGATGCATACACACACGCGACGCTTTGACGTTTGCCCGAAGTGTCTGTGTCTCTCGTGGCGAATGCTAGATCGCGCTTATCATTTGATTTCCAGCCAACTTCGCTCAGCTGCTTTCCGTTTTAGTAGCTGCACTGAGCTGCACTTTCTGCACTTGAAATGACAGACCTATCGGTGCGCTCAACTATGTTTAACTTTGATATCTCGCTTTTATCAAATAATGAATATGTATCTATTTCATTTTAAGTATATAATACAATAAGTGTATATAAATAGTCACAAAGGATTGAAATAAGATCAAGCTTGAATAATAATTAATTCATTATAATTAATACAATTATCTACACAATTATCTATAAAAAATAAATCAACAAATTAATAACTTTTAACTTAATTTAATTAATTTTTTTCAAATGAGTTAATTACTAATTGCAACTATATTTTGTAAAACGTTATTTTAATTTGCAAATTTGATTTTTATAAATTAAAATCTTTTTTGTCTTTAAACGTCAGTATTATTTCCTTTTTCTATAAAATTTTAAACATTAAACGAATTTTAAAAAATCCATAATTATGAACATGTAATTGCTAATACAAAATCCATAATTATGATGGACGTGTAATTGCTAATACATTTGTTTTTTATTCAAATTACTAGCTGCTTTTTATTCATTAATTTTTTTTCTATAACATCTATTAATTATTAATATGTATTTCCTAAATGCAAAAGAATAAAAAAACAGGTACCTTTCATAACATTGAAGGAGTTTATAATAGATTATAGATTTGACGGCATCAACTAATTTGGTAGTTCCGTAGAATTTAGAAATAAGAGTTTTCTCTGTAACAATGAGTTATCTCACTTATCTATATTTTAATTCCAGATTATTTCTTATCTCTATTGTTCTATATCTTAATTGTCATTATATTGGGTCATCTAAAAAGTATCCGCGGTTTTTTGTCACTAGATGGTGTTGATGGCGGATACTTTTTAGATGACCCAATATAATATATTCTACGTTTTCAAGAATATATAATTAGATAATAATAAGATCCTAAATTGATTTTGATTTATATTTACTACGTTAATAATCAACAGATCTAAAATTTTATTTTATGAGATTCTACAATAATGTCATAAATCAGAAGTTACAAATTGACCAATCACAATTGTTACTTTTTAACTTCTGACCTCTGATTCATGGTCAATGGCTTATTGTAGAAGATTCATTACAGTATTTTTTCTTTTTTGATGTTTGTAACTTGTTCCTGCATAATTCTACTGATCAGAATTTTAAATGCGAGAATGGATATCACTATCAAGAATGATTAGTCATCATGTACGCGTTCGACAATTACGTGTAATTGTTTTTCTAATCGGCGGGATAAAAAATCTTAAGCGTAGGCAGGAATTGCCGCTCTCAATTTACAACGAGCTTCGTAAGTTAGTGCTGTATTCATGTCATAATCGTATAAATGAAACTGATTAGTACGAGTAGTATGATGTGATATCAGTGAAGTACTTATTTACGAGCAAGGCTACAACGTAAATATGCTGATAAAAATCACTTGATAAGATTGCGCGAAAAAAAATCCTGAAAGAATGGAAGACCCGCTTTTGATAAATATCCATAGGACGAAATTTCTAGGCGAATTCATTACGGCGATACAACGTATGAATTATTCGCGCGAGTAAATATTTCAGCGCGGTGAAAAATGATTGATCGATCGCCGGCGCAACGTTGAAGACGCGATTGCAATTGGTGTGAATTAGGAGCATAAAAGAGAAAAGGAAAGAGATCGATGCAGGGAAGAGAACAGAATAGAATAGAATTTAATTTGTTTTTTATAGGTCTGTGTCCTCTAAGAAAAAAAAAGTATTTTTTTTTTTTAGTGTTGTTTCACACATGCATGCTACAGTGAAGAATGACAATACAAAAAGTAAGTAAAATAAAAGAATGATATACAAAAATAAAATAAGCTGACAAAAGATAAGAGAGAGAGAAAGAGAGAGAGAGAGAGAGAGAGAGAAAGAAAAAGATAGAGTGAAAGGGAGGGGGTATATGATGTATCGTACGGGCCACGTTGTTCCGTTTCTGTTGCGCGAACGAGAGGCACGAAGTTACGATTTGTCACAAAGACGGTCTGCGTCCTATATGTGTGCATTGTACAGTCAGTAGCGTCAGTGCTAGTGGTCAGTGCAGTGCCCGGTACGGTGCGACGCGTACTGTACGTTTTCCGATGCGGCGAACAAGATCGAGATCGAGTGAACGCAACGCGGTGGAGTTTCCGTTTACGCAGTAGCCCGCTCATAAAGTCAGGCGGCATAAAGTGCCTTTTCTGTTATTAGGGTCTTCGCTAAAATGGTGAGTCTGAAATCCTGATGTCCGCGATGCTAGAAGGCTAGAAATCATTCCGAGATCTTCGAGACGGGGAGTGAATTGAACAATCTCTCATAGGTCAAATGACCCAATTGCTCAAAATGTTTAAATGTGATTTGTTAATTTTTCTCCATCCAAGATCTCGGAGCCTAGCATTGTGGACATAAAGCTTAACAGCGTATTTGCCTCCTTTTTTTCCTCTTTTTCTCCACTAATTTGTTAAAGAAAATGGAACACGCCGTGTATCTGTTATGCATAGGTGTATACACAAATATAGTGTGATTATCATATTTCAGTTTCAGAGAGACGGAGTGAGACTCAGACAGCACACGTCGAAGAGAACGTTGACTGAGTTACCTTACGAAAACAGAATTGCTTCGAGGAAACAAGATATACTGCCAAATGATACCCAACATCTTCTCTTTGTTCTTACGTACTTTCTCTTCTTGTCCTTCATTATAATCGTCTTAGAGAGGAATTTGCCTGATCCAATTACTATTGACACGGAAGGATTACATCCTGGAAAATTCGTTGCCGAGCGAGCTCGTAATCATATCGTGAATCTTACGTCGATTGGACCTCGTATCGCCGGCAGTTACGAGAACGAAGTCCTAGCTGTAAAATATCTAACAACAACGATCAATAATGTGATGAGAACGGCGCACGAGAATCACAGGATCCTCCTTAACATTACAAAGCACAGCAGCGCGTTTCCACTTAAGTTTCTTGATGGCATGACTAATGTCTATAGAAATGTACAAAACGTTATTGTCAAAGTCGGACCCCACAGGCCTACAATGCATAGCTTATTGCTTAATTGTCATTTTGATACGTTTTTAGAAAGCCCAGGTAATAAGCGTCTCTATGCACAATAAGCGACGTCTCATCTGCATAAATAATTATTATTTATGTAAAAAAATAGGTGGTTCTGATGACGCCGCTGGTTGTGCTGTAATGCTAGAAACTTTACGGATAATAACTCAAAGTCCGAGAATATTGAAGCACAGCGTTATATTTTTATTTAATGGGGCAGAGGAAAATTTATTGCAGGTATATTAATTCGCTATCTAATCTTGATGGGTTCTGATTTATTGATTAGTTCTAAAATCGTAATAACATATTCTGTACACAATGTATTTGTAGGCATCTCATGGTTTCATAACGCAACATCTTTGGGCAAAGGATGTACGAACATTCATAAATTTGGAGGCATGTGGCGCTGGTGGTCGCGAATTATTGTTTCAAGCTGGACCTCACAATCCTTGGATTCTTGAGGTATTTTATTATTGTTTTCTCTGCTATTTGTTAGCATTAAACTTAATTTTTTTATTATGACTTTGTCAGGTTTACGCCAAATCCGTACCATATCCTTATGCATCATCGTTAGCTCAGGAAATATTTGAGAGTGGTATAGTACCTGGTGATACAGACTTTCGAATATTTAGAGACTTTGGAAAAATTTCTGGTAAAAAAGATTCGATTATAACATGATTGATAATTTATTGCTAGAAAAAATCTTTACTAGTATATCTAAAATTTTTATACAGGGCTGGACTTTGCATGGTCAAAAAATGGCTATGTATACCATTCTAGATTTGATAACGTTGATCAAATACCGCTGGGAGCTTTACAACGAACCGGCGATAATATTCTTGCATTGACGCAAGGAATAATATTCGGAGATTATTTATCGGACGTGGATGTGCAAGAGACACGGGGTAATCTCGTGTTCTTCGACTTCTTGGGTGCATTCGTTATTAGATGGCCACAATACATTGCCAGTACAGTTAATATCGCCAGTATGATTATAGCTGGGTACTCTATCCATTTGAATATGCAGAGTGCACGTAGAAGTAAGAATATATAATTATTATTTAGATCCGGCTGCGCCAATAGACCTCAAATCGGTTCTCGTTTTCTCGAAATCTGAGTAATATCGAATTCTGCGTTATCGGATACAGATATTAAAAAATGGATGTACATGAAATATGTGCTGATGTGTGTCGGAGTGATCATGACTTCGTGGTTAGCATCTATATTTTCTTGTACATTAATCGGCCTGATCCTGACCAAGCTGGGAAAAGTGATGAGTTGGTACGCAAGACCGGCGTGGCTGTTTTTCTTATATGTTTGTCCAACTGTTTTTATATCGATGATCGTATTCCTACAGATCGGATCGAGGCAGAAAAAAGTAAGTAATAGAAATAAGTTTTGCTTGAATCTCGATTCTTAAATAATTACGTGTTTGGGCTGAATGTCAAATGTTATCGATAAAATTAGATTAAAAGTTTGTTTGAAGATTTATTGCAACACATACAAGTAATACTAATGATTGTAGGAAGTTGGTTCTGCATGGATTTTGTATCATATGTACTATGACGCGTATTCCCTGATATGGATGTTGATTCTCTTCATATGCGTTTTATTTGGAATACGATCGGGCTTTATACCGCTCCACTGGGTTTTATTCCCATCACTTGGAAATATTGCGCGACACAATTTCTTCAGCAAATGGAGAGGTGAGGACATTCAAAGCTTTCTATAAATTTTTTTTTACACACTAACATTTTTTTATGTTAATCTTCTATGTCAATTATTTTAAAAGTATTCTAATATTTGATTGAATGTACTTTTATGAATTTTGTAGACTGGAAATGGCTTTGTTACCAAGTGGGATCGTTAAGTTTATCTTATATACAGGTATTTTATTTAACGCTCGGTGCTCTCTATCTCTTCATTCCAATAATGGGACGGTCCGGTGGCAGTATTAATTCTGAAGTTGTAATAGCTAATATGCTGTCACTATCATTCTGCCATCTATTATGCTTCACGGTAAAATATTAATAGCTTTAATTTTATTTTCACGACATAATTTTGTATCTTTAATTTGTACAATCGTCTCTTAATCTGTTGTAAAATATAACTCACAATATTTTCAGTTGCCAATAGTGCTTCTAATAAAGAATGCCGAACGAATTATAAGTGTGATTGTTGGAATTTTCTTAATTGCTATTGCTGTATTAATTCTAACACCACTTGGATTCCCTTACAGTGGTGATCGGTTGTCGCCTGCTCCACAACGATTTATGATTGCGGTACAGTTATCTTAACATTCCTGAAAATTTTTGTTTAATAGAACATAGCATAGGTTCATCGTATGCATATATTATTCATCTTATATCTTTGATTTACAGCATAGTCAACGTCAGTATTACAATGTAGATGGTAGTGATAGGTATTTTGGTACGGGATACTGGTTAGTGGATTTAGATATGAATAGTCCTTACAGTATAGAATCGATAGTACCTGAAATAGCTGCTGCGACGCCAACAGTCAAGGATTGCGAGAAGGAATTATACTGCGGTTTTCCATATTTAATGCCGGTTACAACTTTCTTGTGGTATATCAGAATTAGTAGTACATTATTCGAATATAAAACTTGACACGAATTGAGAGGGCTCATTTTATAGGAAAACTACCTGGATACCAGGACCCGCTCCGCTCATAAGTATTCCTACAAATCTCGAGGTAATTTCGAAGACTACGAAACAGCATGTTGTTAATTTTACCTTTAATGTTACAGGTAAGATATTCAAAAGTTTAAATAATTTAAATTTCATGTATCTCTTTCTCTCTCTCTCTCTCTCTCTCTCTCTCTCTCTCTCTCTCTCTTTCTCTCTCTCTTGATATAATAAAAAAAATTAAATATCTTCTGAATTATTTAGGTCCTGACCACATAGGTATAATTTTGTCTCCATACAAAGGTGTTCATCTAGAAAAATGGTCTATACTTGACGGGAAACCATTGCAAGGTCCAAGATGGAACAATAGAGAGACTTACTTTATTTATTATGCATGTGCCTCAGACTGCGTGCCATTTACATTTTCTATTGAACTGAATGTAAGTTTGCAAGACAAATATATGTTTTTTCCTTTGTTATATCACATTATACCCGTATCAGATTAGAGAAATTGAGATTGATAATGAGATTAAATTTGATCAATCATCAGGCATGATTTATTAAAACTTGATATAATTTTGTTTTTAATTGATTAATTTTAATCTCAATCTCAATTTCAATCTTTAATCAGATATGGGCTTTACTCGCGAAAAATTACAAAATTTTGTGTTCAGGTATCTACAGAACAAAAAGGACCGTGTTTATCCATCGCATTAGCTGGACACTTCTTACATGGCGAACACCAAAAATCCTTGAGATTTAAAAAATTTCTGGCACAGTTCCCGTCATGGACTGTCATCGCTCCCTGGACGGCATCGTATAAGTCATGGGAATTATAAGATGTAAAAACTACTGAGAGGACAATTGATATGGTAAACGTGAACAAAGCAATATTGTCCTATAGCAAATCGTCTCTCGCGAATTAACAAAGTAGTCCAATAAAATGGTACTACGCTTTTGGCGTATGATGAGATATGAAACCTAATGCCATATAATATTGTTTAATGCCATAACGATGTAATATCGTTTGAAAATACTTAGATTTAGTCTTCAAATACTTCCTAAGATATTACAATTTGAATATCGACAAACGTTAAATGCGATAGAAAATGGGACGAATAAAAACGTTACCATTCGAATTTATATATGAATTTTTTTACTTGCATATATTATCATTAATAGAGACGATTTCGAACTAGTCTAAGACGTTGATTCGGATTTAAATCCTAAAGAGATATCTAAAAAAACTCATATATATATATATAGAGAGAGAGAGAGAGAGATATTAAAATATATTGCCTGGGCGCTTTCAAAGGTGATAACTACAATTATTTTTCATAGAAGCGTACGATAATATTGCATATCATAAGCTTTAGACTGATTCCATGCGTTATCTTTCGATTTGATAATTTTTACGAAGAAAACAAATCGCCCGATAAAGGAGAAATTTCATTAAAATCTAAAAACTCGAATTTTATTATGATATATAGAAACTCTGTGATTGCATGACGTACGCTCTCTTAGTACGCTTCAAATTTACTGAAAATATCAAAATATCAGTACTAGTTCAAAGTACCATCTCACATGAGATAACTAGATGAATAATTACATAATTAGCGCGCACACATTAGTGTGTATTATCGACATGTTTTATAAAAATGACGCAAGTGCTGTCTAAGACGTTTGTAGACTATAATACGTGCTTTAATGCTTGAGAGCTCTTACATAAATGCAAAAATTCACGGTTTGATCTACTATTTGGTCTAAAATACAGATTTAATGCTGTCATCCATGCCAAAATCTCTAGGCAATGTTTCAATATACACTACCAGTACTGAAAATCTATAGTGCATTACGTATACTATAGTTATATGTACGCGTACTATAGTTAGTTTTTCAGTTCTGGCAGAGTATATCGGAACATAGCCATAATAATAGACAGTCACTAAGTGACAGCACGTGCATAGTACATAATAGTACTTTATATTTACGTCGTGATAGTTTATATCACAATGAATAAAAGTTGCTCGAGATATAAGATAATCAAATATGCGTTTCAAAGAAATTTTATATTTCGGCTAATACAATAGAATAAATTTTAAATATATGCAGATACATACATGTATGTAGAATATGCCTAATAAGTTGCATTCTATTCTTTAATTTGAATATTTTATTTACATCTTACATGTCAATGAATGTCTCCATGAATATTAGCATTTTGTAGAAGAGCTCATTATTTGTATTCTTGCACAATCTATGAATCATTCCTCTTTTTTTCTAGTTCTAAATAAAAAATAATATTTTTAATAGCATATCAAACAAGTTGAGACTTGACATAAATATTCCTGTATATACGAATTAACAATTTTTAGTAACTTAGGACCTATTTTTTTTACTACCTTTTTACTATAGTAAAGGTATCAAGCTTGTCTTTAATTAACTTTTCCGTTTCTCTGTACATGTTTTTTCTCAATGAAAATGTTTCTTTTCTTTCGCCTACATTAAAAATATTTTTAATAAGAATTCACAATAAAGCACTAATAATATTTTAAATGAAAATCTTTGTCACACATTAAGAATAATTATTATTCTAATTCTTCTAATAGGAATTTTGAAAGACAGTTCTTCTTCACATCTCTTTCAAAATATTCGCAATTAACATCAAGTTTTCTCAACGTACAATCGAGCACCTTTTGTCATTTAGTGAACACAAAAGTTTTATCTCTAAACTAAATACGTAACAGATCGCATAGTATCTATTTAACAATTTAAAATAATAGAAAATATTGCTTACGCGTAATAAAATTTTTTTCTACGAGTCGATAGACATATCGCTGAGTTTAATAAACGCCTACTTCACGTAATTTACCGAATTGTTCATTTTATTAATGCTTGACATGATATACGAATATAGCTAAATTCCGTGATTTCACTAAAATCTTTCTCGGGAGGGAAGTTGTATAAAATAGTATTAAATAATACAATGTTATAAAAAAAATTAATCATAAAAAAAAATAGTTTTATATGTATAATATAGTGGAAAGAGGCAGTAACAAAATATAATTTTAATGAAGGATTAAACATTTTTAAAGCGTATTGAAAAACGTTTATGTTATATGTATTTTTGTATGTGATTCAAATTATTTTTTTTTTGTTACATTTTTATGTTTATATTTATAATATTTAATGAATTATGTCTGTGCTAGACTATGATTGTTTTATCTAATTGTTCATTAATTTGTTCGTTTTAATCAGCTTACAGCACAAAGCAAACGTTACCAATAATAACGTTAATCTCAATTGCACAAATTTACGATCGCAATTCTATTAATAAGTAATACTTAATTCTTATACACAAAGTTATAATTAAGCGATATTTGACAATTTTTAGCACCTCAAGTCATTTATTATGATCTGAGAATAACTGAATCACTAAATCGTTTTGTTTTTTTTTTTAATTTCCACGTTATTATATCTTATTTTTACGAAGATAGTATGTGTTCCGTAAAATAATTTCTTAGGCAATCACCTGGGTATTCAAAGCGTACTCAAAGCGTTATTACTATAATGCGAGAAATGTAGAGCGCTTGTTAACAGGATCTTTATTTTGTTGTTAGGAGTAAAACGAAGTTCTTTATCTCAATCTTTGCTATTACGATGAAAACAAGAATTCTAGATTATCAAGTGTAATCGTTCCCTAAATGAAAGACGTATCTTTGTACGTCATCACATCCTGACTCATACAGAATATCTGTACTTTGGTAACTTCGTTTTACGCCAAGTACCGGCCAAAGGAAAAGGATCCATCCATTGCGTGACAAGTGTACAATTGTAGTTGCCTAATAATCGTTTCCGTTATTCTACGTGCAGGGTGACACTTTAATGATAAAATATCACGAATGACTCGCGGAATTCTATTCGAGGAATTTAACGTTCGATAAGTGGATCATATTGATACAATAATGTACATTATTTTTTGTTCCCCTGCTAATTTATTTGTACACAGGCGTATGTTCCTATATATATATATATATTGCGACATTGTTACTGCAGTAACATGTTGTTGTTACATGATTAAGAGATTATATTGTATGAGAGAGGAAATAAAAAATTAACATACATATTATGCTAGCTATTTCCTTCATTTTCCTTAATTATATTTTATCATTTTCCGTAAAGTACAGTAGCAATAAAGTTAAATCCGGTTAATATGTCGCTTATTAAATATTAATAAATTGACGTATTTATACGAGTTCATACTTACTGACGTATTAATAATTGCTTCTTCTTCAATTTTTTTATACAGTCTTACTGATGTTCAATAAATTTTTTTTCTTCTTTCGATTTTGTTACACAAACAAGTCTCATTGATGTTTGTTACTGTTACGCGACTTATTGCGTTTAATCAATACAGGATTGTCTTCGTTATCCAACAAATCTTTTGTTCACCGAATCAATTTCCTGTTTCCTGAGCAACACTCTTCTACCTTTGTTACGTTATTTAAGTTTCACTCGCGTAACGTAGGTCACATGGACAATAATGCTTATACAGGACATGTTACTTTTCCAGTAATCCAAAAGAAAGAATTGAGTACGATTTGAGTATGAATAATTGATATTAATTAATACGTATATGATGTTAATTAATGAATATTATTAATGATTAATACATATATTATTACATCGAAATAATTAATGTAATGTCAGTAATATTTAATTTATAAAATCTATTTAATATTTTAATTGCTATTTATTTTATAAATATTATATTTAATGAATAAATTATTAATCTTTTTTAAATGTGTTTAATACGTATTTATAAACATATAAGTGTATGCGTGGCAGCGCACGAGACATCTGCTATGCCAGAGATCCCGCGTTCGATTCCCAGGCAGAACCAAAAAATTTTTCGAACGCTCGTAGCTCTTCTCGGCAGGCAATGGCAAACCATCGAGAGAGAGTATTTTTGTCAAGAGAACTTCTCTAATAAAAATCGTCGTTCGGAATTGACGTTAAATAGTAGGACTATGTACATACAATCAGCGTATCACAGCCATCACAGGCATATGAGAGAAGTCACCACGCTATTTATTAGTTGTGTTCTCACATGTACGGTCTAAATAAGATTGTTTTATTGTCAATATTTAATAATTTATTAAATGTATAATATTACAATACCGACTATTACGGAAAATTTTTAGAAATGTTTCAATCTATCATATCTCATGTGTAACAATTCTGAAAGGATTCTGCATTATGTCATATGAAATGTTTTAACAGAAATGTTTCTAAAATCTATTACATACAAAAAATTGAAAAACATATTTGAATAGATCAAAAAAGCATCATGATGTTAAAATGATTCGAAAATGTTTACTAAAAGCGATTTTTTTTTAATCAATCGATTTAGTTTAACTTTATCAGTCATTTTGATGTTATTATGACTTTAATTGCGAAAACCTTTTGTACATGAATGATGATGCTGTGTGGAAACTGCAAATGTAATTTTTTAATAGTGATTGTATATGTGCTTATACTATATAATTAATTAATCAAAATAATTGACGATATAATCACTATTTTTGAGAAATATTTTAAGTTTATTTCTTTCAATAAGTTTTGTAAACAGATCACAAAAACTCTTAATAAATTTTAAGTACTTCAGAAATGATATTTAAATATATGATAATTGATACTCTATTATGTCGACATAATAAATTTAAATATTATTTAAGTATCAATCAAGTATATATTTAAGTATCATTTTTGTAGTACTAGAAATAGCTGAAACATTTTTGATAATTCTAAACTAAAAGAGGATAAAATAGTCAATTAAGAGTCTATGTGATTGTTGGTGCGCAAAGTTATTTGTTTATTCAAAATTAATCCGCATACGTTTCAATCAATGTTTTGTTCTTCTGAATGTGAAAACATTAATTAATTAAATAGATTATATATTATAAATTGCGGAATACATAATATTAAAATCGATTTGTCACAATTTAAAATACAAGAGTATGAAACATATATCTAGGGTCATTTTGTTACCGTTATGGAGTCAGTAGTTACAAAAGTAAGACGCAAGTTCCCTTTTTGGTAATATTTCAAAAAGATTGCAGATTCTTTCTATAATATTTTATCAACCTTTCAATAAGGTTTTATGTGCAAGAACCGTTGCAGACATATTTCGCAATTTTTATGAAATGTTTCACTTTTTAGTTGAAATATTTCTGAGATATTTTTGAAGAGACTACATATTTAATTATATATATTATATTTAATATAATTATAGAGATACATTTAAAATATCCTAAAAATTGTGAAAGAAGAATTTATTCGTCGGAAGTATATATCTGTGGGGATTTTTCGGCATTCTCCAGATACAGAAGGATTGGAGATAGACGGGCGAAAGCCCGGTTCTTTTATGTTTCGTAAGAAATGTGTCAATATTGACGCATCGGCATCCTGTAAGGCGAGAACGATTTCCTAGTTAAAATGATCGTTGGCCGTCATGCCATCACACTGATCTCCGTGTCGTGCTTGAGACACGATTGTGATTTTGCGTGCTGCCCTGTGCATTTTCACAAAAATGGATTTTATGTGAATCACTATCAATCACGTTAGAAAAATATTATTAGAAGAGTATTCGTAAGGAGGAAGAACTTAACTCGGGAAATTTGTGTGCAATTGAGTGATTATCTAGAAAAGCCGAGCCTCTTTCAAATCTTCGAGTAAGTAAAATATTCTTTCTATATGAGATCTTCATTTCTCTTTCTCTCTCTTTCTTTTAACTTTATGTATTCTTTTTCTTTCTCTCCTAACTGTGTTATGCTTGGCACTTGATGAGGAGACATAGGTCGATATTCATAGTCAATTCTTTTTTCAAGAATCAAGATTTTAAGTTCTTCACGAACCAATTAAAGTCTTAAAATAAGAATCATCAATGAATACTGACCATAATCTCAGAACGCCTAATAAATAACTATTTTCTATATTCTTCCACTCTCTCTTTCTTTTTTGTTCTGCTCGCGTAATTTAATTAAATTATATATAATATATTTTTAAAATAAAAATATATTATAATTTAATTAAATTACACGACATAGACCTTTGACATAGACTTTTCTTCATGTTTTTCGATATATAAACACCTAGAGCTCAGGTCATACTATAATATATAAATGTTATGTAGATGATTTGATATAACATTTATATGATTTATTGAGTTTTGTTTCTGATCAACTCTTGAAAGGACGTTTTCCTAGAACGCGTAATAAAAATTAAACTATCTATATATCTATATCTATACCCCTATCTCTCTTTCAAAGAGTAATCGAGATTACTCTTTGAAGAGTATTCAAACTCAAAACGGATTTATAATGTGGCATCCACTTGGATCCATTCTTGTTCACTGTTTTGAATTTATGTCTTAGTCCGGCCGTTTTCAATCGACATTCAACGCATTCCTATGAACAAGTCAGACCTCGAGAGGAGTACCTTTCATACGGATTTATAAACACGCTGACAGT